GGTGTTTGCTGTCATTAATTATACGGCTGAGGCCTGAATGTGTATTGAACTAATGAGTAAAAAAGCTGGAAAACACTAACAGCTTCAGCACTGTGTGACACGTATCATGGCGCTGCCATGAAAACACCCACTCAGCTAGTTTAGCTTTAGGGAACCAGGAGACCTATGACTTTATCAATACTTTAATGTTTTATAGTCATTTTAATCAAGCTTACAATTTGAAGCCTAGACAGGAGAATCTGTCAGTCAGACAGGATGATACCAGTCTGATGCAGGAAGTCCACTCTGCTAGCATTAAGAGCCACATGCTAACTAAGCCTATGATGACCTGCTAACATTTTATTTGATCCACCGTCGCCTATAGATGTATGTCAAAGCAGCTGTGACCTTCTGAGTATAGATAGTGTCTAGGAAGGATTTTTTAACAATATACTAATAAATCCTACTCCAATAGATATGACCACACCTCAGTACCATTACAGATACTGGCTTTTGCTCTGATAACAAGCCTGGTAGTTCCTCCTCTCACTGGGCCAGAGGATCCGATTTCCATGATTTCCAAAAGAAATTTCAGATTCAGGATCATCTACAGAACTATTTCTGACTTAATGTCACTATTTTGTAAAATTACAGAGATAAAGGTTTAACATTTGGACCTGTGGCATCTTGTCCGTGGGACAAAGAATTAAGACACTGATTTAAACTACTTTGTGAAAACATAAAACTGATCTCACATCATTTGAAATCCATTCTAAAAGCGCTTCTCTTGCAGTTATTCAAAGGCAAACCCTGTCTGGATGGTCCACTTGAACTCCATCAGGCAGGGACACAGAGAGCCTGACCAGAGACATCAATGGTCCAATGGGAACATATCTTGACATCCTTCAGGCTGCCAGTAAAAGCTTGTTGTCTTCGAGGAGGCGAGAGAGGGAGCTGACTGTCTCTGAGAGGTCTGAGTCTGCTAAGCCATGATGGTGAGAGTCTGTGAGGGGGGGGGAGTGCATGTGGGACTGAGTGGTGAATGTAACTGAATAAATAAGACATTCTTAGACACTTGTAAATGCATCAGATCCCTAGAGGGGTCTTAGAGGACAAGAGCTCTTTACAGACTCCCACACCAACAAAGAAACCGCTTTTTTGCAGCACTGGTAACTAATTCATGATTCTGACCATTAAACAAAGAATCATGGTCATTCACTAAACTACATAGACATAAACTATGTTTATGTTTTTGTTTGATTATAGGCAACTGACAATTCATTGCAAATTGAATGACTTTTTGTGCTATATTTTCTTGGATTACTTGTGTATTTATAGTACTTCTTTAAAAAAAATTCCCCTTGAAAAAACTTTAAATGACTATTTAAAAAAATAGAAAAGTGAATTAAAAAATCATTGTGCAATTATTGGTTGAATCAAAAGCAAGATGGCACATCGACCCTGAGAGGGGAGACATTCAAGGGGATTTCTAACTTTTCAGAAGAAACACCCTTAATCTACCATAAAAATCCTATTAACCCACTCACACCTATAATAGGTCATCATGTTTGATTCCAACTAAATGAGCAATTATTAAACATAATTTCTTAATGTCCATTGTAGATTTTTTATTTGTCTCTCTGGATTTCTGGATTCTGTCCTCAGCCCAAAAGTGAATCACAGTCCTGAATAATAAGTGGTCATGGAAAATACATTTATCCATTCATTAAAAACGCTTTGTTTTAGTTATGTTCAGATTGTTTTATTCAAAATAAAATAACAGTCTATATTACTTTTGTAAATATACAATACATATACATAATAAGAATCTATATAACAACAACTATTTTACAATTAAATGTTTGCTTAGGACTTAAAAGCATCTTCAAATCTGTTGTGAGGATTTATAAATATTTTTTTAACAACTATCTTTCGTTTCCTTTTTTTCAATTCAGGTATAATTCGGTTCATCTGTTTTAAGGGATGACAGAAAATGCCCTAAAATGGAATTGTGATGTAAATCGATGGACTGGATGCTCGTTTAGTTATTGAAATGAACAGAACTGTTGGATTCAGTGGCGAGCTTGCCTGGATGTTCCGTTACTGCCATCTGCTGGAAACACTTAGAACATTACAGAATATCAGACTCAGAATATCAATATTCACACTCACAGCAGGTTTGAAGTGATTCTTACACATTCCATGCTGACATACTATAAATATGAGGATTACAAATTTGGACAGATTTTACCCAGAGAGTATTTGTGCATTATGTTTAAGATATCTGTTTGAACCCACATCAGTATCTGACTACTGAGTGGAGATTGTGGGGTCTTAGAAATGAATCTTTAGTGAGTTTTACACTGAACCAAAAGAACTCTGTAGACTGTTTTCATGCCTGACAACAGCAAAGAGTAACACATCCAAGATGGTTTGGCATGAATAGTTGACTAGCAATACTTTATTTTAATCATCAAGTGGTCTATTGACATACTTTTGAGATTATCCACATGGTCATTTTCCCCCCACAAAACCAAAATGAGGCTCTGAGGCCTTGTGTGAAACATCTGGATAACCTCTTGGCTTCCACACAGCATTTTGGTTGATCAGTGTATCCTTCAGTGGTTTTTGTTTGTAGTATAACTTACAATGGAGGTCAGAGATTGTCTGTGTCCTGGACACACACAAGAAGCAGGCAGGAAATTGGCAGGAAGCTGACTGAACGTGGACAGGAAAAGCACATGAGAAGAACAGGCACAATAACAATATTTGTGGACCCTCAGTGTTGAAGCCCGGCTCGTCTTTCAAAAGAGAAACATCCCCACACGGTTATCAGGCAGCACATTAACATCCCAGTTTCCCTTCTGTTTAATCCCAGCAAAGCTCACCTCATTTCTGACTCTGTCATCACAAGTTCAGACCACATGATGGAAGAAGTGAAAAGTGAACAATCTAAACCTGAAATAAAGACAGTCGTCCACCAAAAAGAGCCTTCACCTTTGAACTGGGAAGCCAGTGTGCGTGACCGCAGATGACCTCGTGCAGTGTTTGGAAACCGCCATGACATCTGGCTCCTCTGACAGTAACATGCTGAGGGAGGCGTCTGGCTTCCTGAGGATGTTGCAGGAGCATGACTTCCACTTTTTCTAACGCGGTTTCACAAAATCATGTCTCACACTCGTGTGCTGGTGGGTGCAGAGGAAGAGGGTTGGGGAGTCTTTGGTAAAAACTGTTAGAATTGGGCTATAATTACTCACTTTAGCATAGCATGCTACAACTTAACCCATGTAAATGACTGATTGTCTTATTCCTTTTAGATTGATATTATTCCCTTTATAATTCTACTTTTGGCTTAAACTCTCTGGCTCCTCCTCCTCTCTCTGTTACAGTAGATACTCGTCTTCAAGCTCAACATCCACACTTTCTTATCACATTCCACCAATACCTGCATGAATTAGGACCTGGCCTGTTCCTGTCAGAGCTAACTGGCCCATAACACTCGTCCTCCTGTTGGAGGCCCAGAGGAAAACTGTCCATCACCCCCAGAAATCCAGGCTCTTCCAGACTGAGATCCTCCGGGAGCTTTGTCTGTGAGAGCCCAGCTGCTTTACTCTGCTTGTGACCAATAAATGTCATATTTGTACTCCTGATCTGCTCTGGTTTATTCTCAGGCTTCCAGCTAAAGAATCAAACTAACAAAACATTGAACCTTTTTAAAGGCTGATCGCACCTGTCAAACCTGGTCGTGTTTTCAGTTAGTAGTGGTTCGTCTTGGTTGTTCCTGCATTCGATTTCACTTTGCGTGTTTGGCCACTGGAGTGGCACGGTCACCTCCTTTTAGTCGTCTTTTCTCCATCACTGCGGGAGTAATGGACACTTGGGGCTGTCGTCTGCATTCCATGCCTCCATGAACTGTTCCAGAAACGGACTGAGAGAGCTTGAAGTGCCATTGAGCAAACTTACTCTGAGAAAACGTTCATCTCCGGTGGAGCAGCAGGGTCAGGAGTTATGTGTAAAGAGGCAGTGATCTTACTGGCTGGTTGATCTGAATACTGAGGAGTGAAGAGCTCTCAGGAGCATAAATCTATTATGATGGACTGTACAGCTGAAGTAGTATTTAAGCACAGAGGACATCATTTCTACAGAATTGTCTGATTTTTACTGTCAGAATATTTTGCAGACAGCAGATTAAACTTTTCGAGCTTCTCTGCTTCCAGTGTCTCTTTGCCATTTCCCCAGAATTTGCAAAAAGCTTCATTATCAAATTTGCATGGATTCAAATTACAATGGGAGTCAGGTTTCTTTAACCATGTTCTCTTCCTCTCTGCTTTTAAACTGCAAATCAAAACTCACGTATTTGACAGAGCCAACCATTTATATGTTTTAATGTGTCTGTGATCTAACACACGATTGATCACATACTAACAAAGATAAGATGATCACATTAGTTCTGAAACAAAAGCCGGTGGTCAACAGAAACTCCCTCTATGCACCTGAACTGGTGCTTAGATTAGCTTTGACAAACTAATGCCCATGCGACCAACCTCATTCCCACATTAACCCAAACTAGAAGAACACCAAAGCAAAACATCTTTACAAATATCCTTAGTGAAATGAACTCGAACCAAATTCATACCAAAATACTTTTGCTAAAATGGCTCTACATGTATATTTCATATCCCAGTGGACTTTTTTGATGTTACTTTATAGTAATTAACTTGTGATATCCAGTATAAAGAGAGGTCTACATAAATTGCATTTCAACTTAGAATAGTTTCTGTAGGACTTTTTCGTGGATGTATTCTCTCATTAGTGAAGGCCAACAAATATGTGTAAACACTTATTCTGCTGTGAGCATAATGTGGTGAGTGTGAGAAAAGAGCAGATCTCCCTTTGTGTTTCTTCAGGACCTAAAGCACACACAGAGAACAGCTGAATTGGGTTTTAGTTGCTGCCAAAGTCCACTGAATCACAAGGTCTCCTTTTCCTGTTGTACCATCTTTTTCTGCTGACCGTAGCAGGCTCCCTGGAATCATCACACGCATTCCCGGAGAGTCTGAGCTGATTCTTGAAGCCCAAAGAGAGATGAACAGTGACAGGGTTCATGCTGCTCTACCTGACCTTCCCATTCTGGAGGAAGAACACAAAGAAGAGGAGAAGGTCTTTGGCAATATTTTTGCAGAGTTAGAATCTGTGGACTTACCTTTGGGAACCACTATAAGGTACTCTTTTCCCTAGAGTTGTTGTCTTGTATTTGAACTTGATAGCCACAGCTGGTCGTAGACTCTCACAGCCCAACTTACTGGGCTTTTATTTATTAGGTTTTTGATTATTTAAGTAATTGAATCATTGTTTGATGTTGATATTAGGACCAAAATGTCTTTATCAGCATATGTGAGGAGACTTAAATGGGTATTCTAAAATGAACAGGTAAATCAGATGTCTCAGAAACAGCCTCTGTGTTTTTATAGGCACTTTTAATATGCTATGAAAATGGTTGAGAGCTCTTGAGTGCTAATTTACATTTTAGGCGAATGGTCTTGGATTTCAAAAAGCATCCAACTGATATTTCTCTGAATGTTTTTAATTTCCTTTGAATATGTGTGATGATTATTTATATGCACTGCAAAACAAAACATAAAACAGCATAATCTGCGTTCAATGGCCGTAAATAAAAGGAAATGTTCCCTTAAAACTATCATAGAATATGTCGTGTATGTTTAGAGTTGAAACAAGGACTACTGGCTCCAGTATTAGTAGTAAACCCGGTGTAGGCTGCTGTCCTTTCAGGGCTCCAGCAGTAGAGTGCCTCTCACCGGCCAGACCTCACACTGACCTGTCCTCCCTTAAACTGCAATCATGTTCATAACAATCATGGCGGAGAATGAAACTCTGGATTGTATAACGGAGCACGAGCGGATTTTGCAGGAAATTGAGAGTACAGACACTGCGTGTGTCGGCCCTACTCTCCGGTAAGAATACCTTTATTCCGGAACCCCAGCTAAAAAAAGCCAGCTTGAGATCGATTGCTTGTCCTACGCATCGGACATTTTGTTGAAAAGCTAGCATAGCTAATGTTAGGCTAATGTTAGCACGGTAGCTAAGCCTGTATAGTTTTAATGAAGACTGATGCTAGGACTCTTTCGGGAGTTTGCTAGCATGGAGCATTTGATACTGTCTCATGCAGCTCTGGTTAAACCAGAAAATGTGGGGTTTTAGCTTTGTAACGAGTGTAAACGGCTAATAAATTTTCAGAAATGATATTAGTAAACTGTGTGGGAATCTGATATTTGATATTCGCTGTCTTGATGGTGCCAGCTTTCGGAAAAAATTGGCTACTGTTTTGGTCAGATTGTGAGCAAAAATGTTAGACTTTCCTTTTATGACATGCAGATACCCCTTGGGTTTTTATGTGGGAAGCAAAGAGCTTGACAGCTGAGAGAAGGATTAAGTGGAGCTAACGCTGTGCAGCATCCTGCATTTGCTCGGAACGCTAACCAGAGCTAGCTGTCAAGGCCACAGAAAGAGGATGTTGTTGAAAGATTTCCTCCGGCTGATTTGCTCCACTTCATTTGATCTGTTGTCATCATATCTGGTAAATATCAGCGAAGCAGATTCCAGTGAAAGACCCGGAGTTAAGCCCACTGGTGTGAATAAACCCCTCTAAGTGAAGGAGATTGGAGGTTTCCTGCTCTGCCACTAGGATGGAAACAGTCAACCACATCTTTGTAGTTCAACTTTCTTATTAAATCTCACTGGTTTTACAGCTTTTAGCTATTTTGATTTGTCTGCTTTTGTCTCTAGGTTGATACAAATGTGAAATCATATGCTGTTCATTCATATTTTTATACACACTCACCACCCCAAAACAGCCAACCATGTTTTTTTATCAGCATAAATACATCTCAAACACAAGTAAATCAAACAGGTCAGTGTTTGTCCAGAGGTTTGCATGTTGTTCAGTCACCAGGATTAGTGGTTTCTGCAGCAGGGACGGTTCTGCTGCAGTCCTCCTCTCTGCTGTGGTCCTGAGGAGCTGGTCAGTAGTGTGTCCAGCAGCGCTGCATCACACGGCTGCACCACCGAGGGGAGCCTTCCTCTGGACCTTTAGCTGGACTCTCACTGTTTTTGTGTGTCAATGGAAGGTCCAGAAGTCAATCTCATACGCTTCCGCACTGAATGAATTCATTAAAAGATAAACGGATCCTGCCAGGATGGGTTGGGATGCCTGTGTGTTGACACAGAGTTGAGAGTTATGCAGCCACTCTGGCAGAGATCAACACATTAATAATAAATGACATTACCTGCAAAGTATTTTCCCTGAATCAACTAATGGGATGTGTGCTGGCTGTAAGGACCTGGGTTCTTCCTAAAGTAAACCTACATTGTTTCAATCTAGTAAAAGAGGGTTCAAAGTTCAATAAAGCCGCCACAGCGAGCTTAGTTTTAGATCGTAATAGCTCTAATTTACACAGAAAGGACACAGAGGTGTGGAGTTACATCAAAGCTTTTTCCAGACAAATGTTCATAGTAAAGAGCATAAAAATGTCACTGTAAAGAAGCAGGGTAAAGTCCAATGATTCCCAGCCTAACAGCAGAGCCATATATGACAGGCTTCTGGGTCAATCTGCAGTTAAGTAGTCAGAATGAGATACAATCATAATATATTTACAGAATAATCAAATGTCTGTGTAATGATCCACCACAGAAACAGCTAAGTGGAGCATTTTCCTTTCCATGGCAAACTTTGGTTAAAAGCTGAAAGGATCTGAGCAACGTTTTACCAGATACCAAAAAACTGTAAGCAAAAATGTGTGAATATTTTTATAGTTGAGAAAATATATGTCATATAGATAAATGAAATGGGTCTTTGATCCCATATCCAGATGGACAGATGGATGAATCACAAACCCAGCAGAAATTGGAAAAACTGAACAAATATATGACAGAATGGGAAATAATGTAGACTAGTCAGAGGTGGAGGTATGACTCAGTATTTATCTGGGTGATCTCTGTTTTAAGTAGTAACAACAAATATAGATCGACTCAGTATTTATCTAGTGACATGAACACTACAAAAAAGAGCAATGTGTCAGTTTCAAACGGTCAGTTTTCTTGATTTAAGACATTTTTTAAAGCGATGTTAAAGTTAGAGAGTGTCAGACAGCACTGGTGACTTCAGCAGAGTACAACATGCAGACACATGTTTTTGGAGTTTGTGGTGCTAATGCAGTGTCTTTTATCAGGAGAAACGATGTAGGAACCACTGGGGAAGACCCCCTTTGGGTAACTGGCTCTGTGACCAGTGCAGGCTGGTGCCCACAGGCTGCGTCGCCTGCCACTCCCTTAGCTCCACCACGCGCACGTCGGTCCTCACACGTCCAGCGAAGGGCTGGCTGGCAGAAGCTTTGCCCTGGCTGGAGATGATGGAATGGGTTGGGCATGCTTGTGCACTCATTTTCCTAATGGCAGCTCTTCCAGATGCCAATATTTTTTACCAACTAGGCTAACTAAAGCTAAATATAGTATACTGTTGAAAACAGAAACAAGCTGTGCTATGCCCATGCCTGTGTTCAGAAGCAGGAGCCCTCTGCCTCTAAAAACACAAACACAACCTGGTTCAGGCTGTGCAGTGGACACTGGAGAAACCAAACAGCTGCCACACAGGAGGGCCGACTCCTCCGGACAGGACTGAAGGTGAAGGACGCCAACAGACTTAACAATCTCATCCGCAAGGCCAGTCACGTTGTTGGAGAGGAGAAATGTTGGCCAGGATAAAATCCATGTTGGACAATTTTACATATCGTCTTCATTGTGTGCTGGTTAGCCTCAGAAGCAGCTTTAGTCAAAGACTCATCTCACAGGAAGTCAGTCCTGCTTGTGGCCATCAAACTTTAGAATTCATCTCTCTGACAGTCATTTAATTTCATTACTTATTATTTATTTATTTCATACTTCACTATGTGCAATAACCCGGTCACATGCAACAATAGTCATTTAGACAGTGAGCAGCTTTGTTAATACTGTTCTATTTGATTTTTTCTTCTATAAATGGGTGCATTGCAAAAAAAGAGTTTCCCGCAAAGGATTAATAAAGTAATTCTGATTCTATTAACCACGCTGCCCCATACTAACACCATTATTTCTACATTTTTCATCTGGGAGACATCCATATTGTTTGGAAGTACAGGAATGTAAACTTTCCCCATGCATGTTCATTTCAGAAATGTGAAAAATGAGCCGAATATATTTAAATAATGTGTATTCCATCATCAACACCTACATCTAGTAATTCACCTCATTACCACCAGATGGAGCTGTTGACCCATAAATGAAGCTAAAGGTCCCTGTTGGTTGGACACATTGCTACTGTGGTATTCTGATTTCTGATGTTCTCATCCTTCTCTGTGGTGGTGAAATAGGATCTAAACTCCAGCTCTATGTGCGTGTTCCCAGAGCGAAATATAGAACATAGAAATAGTGTATTAAGATTTCTATAGCTCAGCTGTGAAAACCTCTGAAATATTACAGAGAAATGATCATGGACCACTCCACTAACTTAATATTTTCCTAGGGTTTGTTGCAGCTGTAGATGTCTGTTATTTAACTGAGTGATTTATAACATTTAGAAAACTCCAAAATCACTATGAGGAATGACATGCTTTGACAGATTTCGGCCCTTATTTCCATTTTCCCAGGTTACACATAGTGAAATGAGGGATGACTCAAGGCTTTTGTACAGTCTGATCCATTCTGTTTTTAAACTTATGCTCCGTATAATTTTATAGTTTCTCTGTAATTACTTCAATCTTCCTGTTTCCCGTCCTCTTCTCTGGTCTCTTTCAGGTCTATTTATGATGACCAGCCTAATGCCCATAGACGCTTCATGGAAAAGCTGGATGCCAGGATAAGGAACCATGATCGTGAGATTGAAAAGATGTGCAATTTCCACCATCAAGGCTTTGTGGATGCAATCACGGAGCTTCTTAAAGTCCGTGCTGATGCTGAGAAACTTATGGTAAGAGAAAAAAATCAGGATTCAAGGAGAGTTAAATATTTAAGCTACACTAACATCTATGTCTAGAAACAAATAAAAAATATAAACCAATCTACTTTTATTGAGATCTACTTTTGGAAGTTCACTGTCACCCACATTCTTTGCTCTTGTAGAAGATTCCCATCTTTTCCCTTTTTTTACTGTAGCCTTAATTAAAGAATATCTCTGGCATAAGGGTCCTTGAACGCTCGGTAAAGTTAATTGTGGTTTTCCACATGTTTCATTTGCTGGTTTTGGTGAGTGCTTTGGTCCCCGTGGAATCAAATTGGGGTGACAGCACAGAACCAAATGCTCTTAGAGTGAGGCCCTACCACAGACATGTCCCAGGAATAGGAGCAGAAAGCATCAGGGTCTAAGCTTTATTGGGGCCAGGTAGCTGTGATCATGGCCGCTGTCTTTGTTTTTGGCCCTCCTGCTATGATACTGTGGCCTTGTAAGTGAAAAAAGAAACAGTGGTTATGTAGATGGTTTCCCTCATTTAGAAACTCCACTGTTAAAAAGGATGTCATCAAAAAGCTGACTGGTCATTTGGGTCATGGCTCCCAGCCCTGTGACAAGAGCTGAGGGTTCAAAAATCCATACCCAGAATTGAGAAGTTTGTCACTGAATCTGTGAGAAAGAGCCTGTCACAAGCCATTAAACGCCATGAAAGGCCCAGCGCACTGATAATGGGTGCAGGTCCCCGCTGCCTGGTTAATCTGAATTTGCCTGCCTTTGTCCTTGCTTCTCCATGGACAATGAGCTGATTACAAGGCTGAGCAGTTGCAGTGAGGGAGGTAAAGAGGGAAAAGAGAGGGCATGAAGAGGGGGAGCACACGGCCGGAGGAAGGCTGGACGGACAGGGGGCATCTCATTTGGCACAACCAAACACAAAAGTATCTAAACCAGCAACGTTTTGAAGACACATCCTGAAACTATCTTAGTGTTTTAGTGTAAATGTGTGTTGATACAGAACCAACTGTTTGACCACTTGGAATCATAAAACATTCCAGAGATGGGAGTTTTCACGTTTTCCCCGTGTCCACATGGGTTTTCTCTGGATCAGAGAATGGAGGTGGACCCAGGCAGCTCGGGCCCGACCTGTACTCTGCTCCTATGACCCAGTTTGCTATCTAGCAGCACCTTTGCAGATGTGCACAGTCTCCATCTCCCCTCCATCCCCTCCGAAAGGAAGTGAGCCAAAAAAGTGGGAGGGAGCCATGCATGTCTTGAGATGTCAAAGCCACCGGCCTGTAGTCATTCAGCTCTGCTCTGGCTCCCTGTCTCTCAGAGAACAGACTAAAACAGCTCTGCTGGTGTACACGTCTCCTCATGTTAGAGCCAGAGGAACCAGCTGGACTCTGAGGACCAGGTTCTGGTCTCCTGCTGGGG